CCGAGCTGCGTGTTCTGGTGAAGGGCATGGTGACACTGGGCAAAGCAGCAAACCACACTTACGATTGAGGAAGGACTTGAATAGCTGGAACTATCTTCCTCGTATGTCCATGTCGGGTGCAGCAGGGTGCGAACGCAGTACATAACATGCGGTTCTCACAGGTCGAAGCATATTCTCCGTCGTACCTCTTTGGTGTGGCTTCAGAGAGCCATTCCGAGAGATCCGAAAAAAAAAACACCCGGACTCAGTGAAGCCTGGGCCCAGATTCGCAGAGGGCTTTGCATTACTGCACGTGCTCGGTTGTGAAGATACGCAACCACTCCGCGCACCAGCAAGCCCTAAATCCGTTGTGATTAGGCCGCATCTTCCACCGTAAAGCCGCCCGCAGTTAGCACACTGTGGCATCCCTCCAAATCTTCGAAGGGAGCGAGGGAAAAAGCGACACTGAGACACTGCTTGCAAAGCTGAGGATTGCTATGCGCTCGACTTGCACTATCCTGGCTTTACTGTTCCGCTGCTGCAGTCGGGGCCAAGGCTCTCTTCTCTAATAGGCGGCTGCTCCACTCCTAAGCCTGCTCTGTCTTTGTGCCTCACGCACGTTTGATGACCATGTCATGAGTCTCATTGTTTTACCCGGGGCAAGGCGCTGCCCATGTCGGGACTATACCCCGATCCGATATTCTGTGTGCAACCAGTTCACCAGCCTCTCTGGAAAGCCCGGTCACAACGCCAAAAACCATCCAGCATCGGCACAATGGATGCAGTATGGGCATCTGATGCAAGTACCACTCAATCACAACCACCATGCTGCATTTGGTCTTTCGTGGGAGCTGGGGATTGAGGCAAGCGAGAGTGATGTCATGCCTAAGTCTCACATGCGCAGGGCGCACGAATTCCTTTGCGGCTCACCATGGCTTCGCCCTTGCGGTGGGGTGGGAACAGCACGGTCACAGATTCAGGAGTGCGGCAAGGATTCCCCAGCACTCCAAGTATTTGGCAGTTGGGGGGGCTGTGTTTAGGTCGCCCCACAAACGAGAATGGCTCCAACATTTAATCTCACCTTCCACGCGGCAAACCTTACAGCCCACTCCCAAGACCCTGCCCGCGCATCCCAAGGCTTATCGTGGTTTATATCTTTGCTATTCTGTTCGTGCAGCTGCTGGCAGACAGCCAAGTTGGACAAGGATGGTTTGAGAATGTTCCTCAGGCCCGGGGGTGAAGTTCTGGGGTTGATCATGCTCGTGGCTGAATCTTTCGGTATTTGCTGGCAGCAGGTTCCAAGCTGCTGCAGCCAAAAGACCCGCAAAATTCCCAGAAGTCGAAATCCCAAACCTGCCTGAAACAGGCCATGAATTTCCTCCTGCTGCAGACATTGGCAGGGGCCGATGTAATTGTCATCAACAAGCTCCTCGCAGCAGGCTTCGGAGGTAGTATATAGGGCTTTGCGAGTATGGTGTTTCGGGCCCGGTGCTGAATTCCTGTCCTCTTCTCTAACCCCACACCGTAACCTCACAACAGCCTCGAGATAGAGTTCTTCAGGTGATGACATTCCGGCCCAGGAGCGTCAGGATAAGACAGGTATGGACACATAGCCAAAATGTAGTAGATTCACGGCCGGGAGGCTGGACCTACTACCTGCTGTACCTGGCCTTTGCAGCTTGTCGGCCACGGCGAAAGTCAGGCTTTCTCCGGAGTCCCCAAACTTATTGCAAGCCTGCAGCCCCCTGCCACACGAGTCAACATACATCCGTCCAGACATGCATGCATGTAGACATACACAAGGACAGACAGACAGACAGACAGACAGACAGACAGACAGACAGACAGACGTACATACATACTGACATACATACTGACATACATACTGACATACATACATACATACATACATACATACATACATGCACATACATCATTACATAGATACATGTGCATGCATACATACATACATCCAACATGTATACAGACACACAGACACGTGTGCATGCATGCTTGCAGACACGTAAGATGCTGCTAGCCCTTGCCCTTGCACTTGCGATGTCTTTGGTTCTGCCGGTCTGTCGAGTGCTCGGCCTGAGAGTGTTCTTCGTTTGTCACTGCGGCGGCGGTTGTACTGTTGTACTACGTACCACCAAGTAAGAGTACTGTAGGAGGTGCACACTTGCTTTTCGGATCTTTTCGGTTGTGCGAGACTAAGTATCGCCACCACTACTTAAATACATCTGTCACTGTGTCACTGTATGTCATCTCGACAGAACTGATGCCACTCAACTCACAAGCTATCCGTTGAATCTATTCCGAGGTGTTCATGGGCTCTCTGACATTGATGCATCTCGGCATAAGCGGAAATCACTCTGAGAGCTTCGAGAACTCTAGCGGCTTAGATGCCGAGAGCTTTCGGAGTGGTCTTGTGGCAGTGGATTCCGTTCGGAAAATGCCTCAGCTTTTGACTCCCTCGGCTGAGGCTCAAAGCCTTTTCTGTTGTGGCCGGCACATGTTTACTATGCCCGGGCGTGTGTTCATGCCCATCTTTGGCATGATTGTTGTGAGTTGATTTCAGCATGATTGCACTGCATGATGTTATGAAAGCAACATGGCTTATGACTGACAGGTGGGATGGATTCCAGTGGCGAAAAGCCATTTGATATAATGTAAAGGTAAGTGAGTGAAGCGGTCACACGTTTTACATCAGTTCAATCGCAACCTGCAACTGGGAAGCCAGGTGGCAGGCAGAACTAGGTGTAATGGTATGAAGAGATTGGTTCGTCGCATTAGTGGAAAAGCACAAGCGTATGAATGAGACGCGGGATGTTATGCCATGCAATTAAAGAGAACCATATACGAAATCTGGATTCTTGGGACGTGTGGTTAGGTATGGGGCAAGGTTCGGCTTGGTTGAACCATATCTTCTCGGTTGTTGCTGTATAGACCTCGGCACAGCCTTGTCATGCTACAACAATGTCGTGAGTAACAGGGGGGGCACGGTGCTTCAGCTGATTCCTGAGTTCGACACCCGAAGCTGTTACCCAAAGCCAAAACCATGTCCGAGGAACATGCTCATCGGAGTCCTCTGCGAAGTGGTTGGTGTTGTTGCTCAGATTGAGGAGCCACCTTGGGCGACAGTCTGGAAGACAACACTGTCAAGGTCGTCGCTGTGATTCATTGTTGCCTCAAGTGCTAGCTGCTTGCGGAGACTGTCTTCATGCGTGAACCCCGTAGGCCGCAACTCCTTCCGTGCAGTGAAACCCTTCTGCAAAGCATCCGCGCCCTCAGAATCAGGGCTCTAGATTCTAGATTTCAATCGGGCCTGTGGGTAGTACCTACCTGATCTTTGACTTGGATGGTGAGGGCCACATGAAGCATCGGCTGAAACGGACTGGCTGGTGCAGATGACGTAGCACACATATACTCGTGAAGATGCACCCGCAGCAGGAAGAGCGAGCCTTTCACGACGAAGCACAGCGCCTGTGATGCAGATTAGACCTACAAGTCTCCTTTTGAACTCAGGGTCCACCCTGCTTTGTGAGCACTTGGCCTTGACGACTGGGAGCGGCAAGTGAAAGCAAAGACTGCGTGTCTGCCAGAACATGAAAGACCGCGAACGCGAGGAGCAACTACACCACAAGCGCAAAGGCTGAGAAATCAAGCTTGAAAGTTCCTGCCTAGCCGGAACCCTGCTGTGATCGCTTTCCGTTTCAGGTTGGGTTTTCTTGAAGGGTGTTTCCACCAAGCTCCATTCCTTTCAAATGGACACAGAATACCTCCGAGGTTGTACATCGCCAACTTTGTCAGTCTCGTGGCGGCAGTCGACAGTGTGCTTTCGGGGCATCATAGTGCTGTTCAAGGGCAAGTTACGCTTGTAGGCTTGGGAACGTCGTGTGATCCCCACAGCAGCATGAAGAGCGCCAAGTAATTGCAGCAAGGCTTGCAATGTGCAATTGCGCCAACTAGGAGCAGCAAGCCGCTTGCAGCAGGGTTCGGCGTCAGAGAGGGAACAATGCTGTTTGTCACAGCAGCCTTTGACACCAGACAATCTAAGCCAACGCTGCTGCTACAGCCGTCAAAAAGTTAGATGTTGTTACCATCAACATGTTTCTCATTGTCGTCAATTCTGCTACTTCTTCTGATATTGCTGCTGCTACAGCGATTACGACGACGACGGCGACTACGACTACGACTACGACGACAACTGCTGCTATCACTACGATTGCTGATGTTACTGCTACTGCTGCTACTGCAACTACCACTACTACTAATACTACTTTTACTACTTTTACTACTACTACTACTACTACTACTACTACTAGTAGTATTATTATTTCTACTACTACTACCACCACCACTACGACTTCCCCTACTGCATCTATAGCTCTAGCAGTTCAACCTCTCGCATTTTTCTGCAACCTGAGATGTGCTGGACATTGATGGAGACCAGAAGCTGTCGAAACTCGAGTTTCTGCAGCTTATGGAGCGGGATCCAGACCTGCACCACGTCTGCATCAAAGCTTGCCGTTATTCGGCTCCAGTACCGACGGAGAGACGACGCTTGCGTTCTGGTTCGCTGCTTGCATCATGGATCATTGTGACAACTTCTGGTTGGACCTTGGTCGAGCTTAGCACAGGCAGTGTACTGGTGAGACGCATCTGAGTTGGAATCGAGAAAGGGTTTGCGCACATTGAACCCAAACTGTCAAGCTTGACACTGCGGGAGCCAGCAAGTTCACCCATTCATGTGGGTATATAGTTCTCTAAATTAAGGTCCTTTTTAGGGTCCTGTTTATAAGGGTGCCGTACTATATTGGGGATCCACAAAGGGACCCTAATTTAGAGAACTACCCATGTACAAGCCTATGCGCATGCACGGACGTACGAGATCGGACGAGCACGGAGACGGACACACACCCGCACACACTTGCACGCACAAATGCACACGCACGCACGCACACACACACACACACACACACACATATATATATATATATATGTTTGTACAGCCAGAAGGCGTAGCAGGCCCGAAGCACTGTGGCGGCTTGCTTGTTCAGATTAATTCAGATCTTTCTCGAAAACTTTTGCTCGGAGCTCGGAGGGTAAGCCTTACACAGCGATGAGTTGTTTGAAGTGGGATTCTAAGCTTGCCCCCACGCCATCAGCTGTTACGACTCAGCACTGGCGTCACCGAGAGTCCATGGAGATATGTTCATGTCCCTCCATCCCCTTGCATTCACACACGTACACACTTCCACATCGCCTCGACTATTTGAATCCGCCAGCTCTTCCCCTAAACTCCCTTGCCGCCCTGGCCGCGTCGTGACCCTTTGAGGCTCAAGGGCCTTCAGGCTTTCGGAATCGACGCCGTGACCTTAGCCACGGGGATCTGGCATGGTTTTACAACGGTAGGGTGCAGGCTTCATGGCATATTTCATGTCGGTGCTTCGTGTAGTGTTACGGGTCGGCAGTCTGCAAGTTTCACGGTTCCATCAGTGCAACTTTGTGGGGTGCAGTGGGGGACTAGGAACTTGAGTTTCTTGTGAAGGTTTCAGGTCGATGGGAGATCTCAGGCTCAGATCGGGTGGTCTTGTGTGGAGCCGAAGTGTCGATTCAGCCTCCAATCCGAAGAAGCTGCTACAATCTTACTATGTCGACACTATCGTTTTTCCGACGAAAGATTGGATGGTGGTGCAACCCCTGACAACCGAGACTGTGCGTTGATTCGACGAGTCTGGCGGATAGTCGTGCACTCCATTCTGAAACCGCAACCCCTTGCAAACCACCAAGCACTGGACCCACTAGACCCAACAAGCATTCTCAACCCTGTATGCGTAAAGCCGCAAGCCCGGAAGCCCTTAAAAAAACCCTCTGCCTTCCAAATAAATAACCTGGAGACAAAGGTCGTCGCATTTTGTGACAATGCCATCGCATTGTTTTCCGACAACGACACAATGGAAGTTGGCCGCACGTCAAGGTTTTGGGGGTGGTATGTGTTGAAGTATAATGATTCGTCGAAGCAGTCTTGGATCTGAATCTGCAAAGTAGACCGACGCGAAGCGGATGGTGAAACAGCACCGCAGAGGCAGCTTTGGAGCTTTTTCGTTTCCAGCCTTTCGGGGCCATTGGAGTTTCTGAAGATGCAACATGCAAAAGGGTTTCCACGTCGATTTGCAGCCAGTTGTTACAACATGTTGAAAGGGATCGCCGCACCCTACATGCTAGACTCACAGAGTGCTTAGGCCTGTCTGTGCTCCTTGTTGTTTCAGTAGCTTTGCATGTGTCGTGCGACTGGTACTTTGGAGTCTCCGTTCTGAGTCTTATAAGAGAAGCGGGCATAACGAGCCCTGCTGACCAGGATGACCATCTACAAGCTGAGCCCGAAAGCCTACAAGCACAGACCGAGGGACGTAGTACCGACCTATACAGCCTATACACCAAACATCCACTTTGGCTGCTGCCGAGGTGACTTCGTAGAGCTGGTGACGCAGTTCCGGAGCCAGAAGCAAACCACCGTCAAGGACCAAGATCCATATCTTTACCCGCAATCATGATGGACCCAGACCCCATCCAGGGTTCCTGCGGTACACCATAAATCTAATGCAGTATGTCTTGGTCTCCGCTACTTACTCGTGCGACTTCCTGGGTCAGTGCGCTCTATCGTCTAGTATCAATGATGTAGCCTGGAACTATGGTGGTAGTACTAGTAGTAGTAGCAGCAGCAGCAATAGTAGCGAAACGCTTCAAGCAGAGATTGTGTTCGGGACTGAACTTTGGGTGTCAAGGTTTGCGGAAGTCATGCAGATTGTCGGTTTGCTGGGTCCTCGCTAGGATTTAGTGGACATGCGGAAGTTCATCTCGATGCAGCTCAGACATTTGGCGGACGAGGTGCCTCAGCCCCTATCTCTCGCTGCTGTGCTTACTGTTCTTGCGGGACGTCTCCAAAATTCATGGGCCCACAGTTTTGTGACAGTAAGGCCTCCAGGTTGTGGAATTTTGGATGGTGCGTCTTTGCGGTTACCACATGACGATTGGATGTAACGGTGTATTGAAGCAACACGAAGCAATTCGCAGCCAAGTGGCAAGTAGCCAGCACAGGCTGGCTTTGTAGATGCTTTCTAAAGAATTAGTTCGTGCCCGGCGGCGCATGACGTTCGCGACGGAGCGAAAAAGACGACCATCTCTGAATAACGCTGGTGCAGTGCGGAGTTCGAAAGCGGAAACAGCGCACTTCCCCTACGTTGGCTCATAGCATGTCTAATCGGAACTCCTATCATGGCGCATGGCTGAGATCCTAACACTATACATGGACCAGGAGAGTATAGGTTGTGTATGCCATAGTCCACAGCACATTTCGTGCGAGTGATGGGAGCGCTTATGTCTGGGAACATTGCATGGCCTCTATGTCAGGTCCGAGGACGGTATGGGCACTCACGGATCGAAGCGGCGTTTCTTGGAGGCATTGCGACAAGATCAACCAGCAGAAGCAAGAAACGTGGTCCTCATTAATCGAATTAGGGTGGCTGGGGGTGTAGCATATATCAAAGGTGTCTACGTCAGATAGTCAGGACACATGAACGGCAATATACGGAGCTGTTTTTCAGCATGTAGGGTACCTGATGTAAACGGATAACGACTGGAGTGTAACGCCGGGAAGGTAAATCGCTGGTAGATGCAGCGGAGCAGTGCGGATACGAAAGAGCAATGTGTCATTCTAGACTGGTGGACGCGGCCTTAACTGTCGGCGGAGGCTTTTGGTTTAAATATTGGTGTTCTGAGGCTGGATCTGACACATGCGCATACACGGGAGATCGCTGCAGGCAGATAGCAAAATCGGGAAGATGTCGGGTCTCATTTCTGCAATTCAAAGCAACTAGCTGGTCAACCCTAAACAGCCCCGACAGACGCAAACAGCCCAAACAGTCCGACTCGACAATCTTCTTGCCAGACACTTGGCGGAAGCTTTCCGGTGCTAAGGCACCAAGCCACCAGCTCCGGGGGAAGATTCGACTAAGACAGGGGTATGCTGTCGAAGATCATCTTGTCGACTGTTCTTCATGCATCGCCATACCTTTCTTGCCGACACTGTGCACGGAGCTCGGGGATGAAACGACGAAAGAGCGTCACAAGAAGTAATGAGCCTGGAGCTGGGGCTTTTGTGGAGCCTCGCACGTTGAAACCCCACACGGCTTGAAATACCGTGAAGGCGTGTCAAGCGTTCAAGCTTGAGCCGACCCACGTCCTACTGATCCTGAGACTTTTCTTGCTAATGCCGGCCAGTCACAGATAAACACAACTAACCACCTCAGTACAGGTCTTAGGTTGCATCGTGTTTCTGCTTATGATGCTGCTGATGCTGATGCTGCAGATGGTGATGGTGATGATGATGATGATGATGATGATGATGACAGTGATGGTGGCCGAGATTATACTCCGGACAATGGTCAGCAGTGCAGCCATGATGATGAAGAGTGTTAGTCATGGTGAGGATGATAGTGTTGATCATGGCGACGACTGTGACAGTTGTCGCCGGACAGAGTGATGTTCGTTTCGATGGGCACGGTCTGTATCATTGGAATGATCCTGTTGGTCGACAGGCGGATGCTTTACGCGTGCAGTTGGCATCACTCGTTACGCGCACATCGACACGCCTTCATCCTTGCCGGCTGATCTGTTGTTGGCTTAAGAGCTTCCTTGCTTGGAGCGCCGTGCCCTCGAAGCTGATAACATTTCTCAAACTCGCTGTGGGCCTCGCCAGGGCTCAGCGCTTCAGAATGCCTGGAATAGCCAAGGTAGACACTTACAGCCGTAGCTTCGGATTCTTAATGTGCCGTTGCCAGGGTCAGTTACTTCCACGTAGGGTGCGGTCGTGGTTTGCTTCGCGATCAGGCTTGTGGGTTAGTTGACACTTCTGCCACTTGCTGTACTCTTTCTAGCCAGCAGTTCAGATGACCTGGCTCTTTATATACACCTGCCGTCATTCTCCGCATTATGTTTGCCACTTGTGCCATAAAGCAGACCGTACACCTAAGACGACTACACGAAAACGGCACTTACAAGCCCAAATTCCTGATGTACAGTAAGATCAACGAACTTGAACCCGACCCCACAAGAGCCACGTGCGCAACAATGTTCACTATATATGTAGAATGTTATTAAAGCAGTACCTAACCACGAGCAATCAACTAAATCCTGGTACTAACTAGTCTCTGCATAAAATAGCATCAACCACAACATCAGAAGCAACAATTCAATTGAACGCAGCACGAGCGGGCTTTGTGCTTGGGAGGGGCACGACATGAAAACCTGCGACGTGCCGCAAGCCACCGTCGCCTAAAAGGACCAGATCTTTCTACAGACTCAGGAAAAGGAAAGTCAATTTGCCTACGTCAGGCAAATCGATACAGGAAGAAATGAGGCATGAAGTCGCAGCCTCTGATTACTTTGCCGCAGTGTTCGGCAAGCACGGGGGCGGGGGGGTGGGGGGGGTGGGGGGGACCCCTCCAACTCCAGCATCGGCAGCAGCAGCAGCAGCAGCAAATCCAGTTACACCGACAGTTACAACCACAGAAAAAGTAACAACAACAATAAGAACAACAATAACAGCAGCAGCAGACAAGAAGAAGCAGAATACAAAGAACCAGAACAGCAGCAATAACAACAAAGACACAGCAACACGAGTGGTGTAGCCGCGAGTATCAGCAGCAACACATAAAACTTGACAACATAAAGCAAATAACAACAAGCAGCCAATAACCACGAACCAACAACCGACAGCAGCAAGAACAACAACAACAACAACGCAGCAGCAGCGGCAGCAGCAGCGGCAGCGGCAGTGGCAGCAGCAGCAGCACAACCACCACCACCACCACCACCACCACCACCACCACCACCACCACCACCACCACCAAAGACAACCACAGTAGCAATAGCAACACCAATCACAACAATGATAATTAACAAGAGCGACAAGGGCAAGAACCACAACCACCACTACAATGCCAAGAACCGCACCTCCAAAAGCAACAGCATGCAAAAAGCATGCAAAATCAGCAGCGCTTGGAATCATGATACGTATGATAAAGAGACTATGAGCGACAGTGGTGTTAAGCCGTTCGTTGCATGCTGTAGCACTGCTTCCAAAAACTTGCTAGGAAACCTAATGGCTACTGACTTAGAGGTCTTCTCTCGCACGCATTGACGGTAGATCGAGGGCGGCGCAAGAGTTTTCACTATTGGACTCCCGCGCTCCAGAATGGGACAGCAGTCGTCGATGTTTTGGATGGAGAACAGGTGTGAGGATTTGCGGTCCACATTCAAGACGTCCCGCACATTAGTTGAAATAGTTTCACTTAGAGGTAATTTCTGTTCTGACTTCGTAGTCGCAGTCTTTACTTTTCGGGCCATGTCGTGGTCGTGGTTGGGGGATGAGTCGAGCACCCGATTTACTGGCCAGGTTGTGCAATCACGGTTTGCTGTCATGCATGGCTCGAAGATTCCACCTGCAGTGGCCCTAATTCTGGAGCCAAGGGGCAGATCTTTCTCGTTGTTAAGACATGTTGCGACTCCTGAGCTCTTTGACCCTGAGGCTTTGGTGGCAATAGACGACAAGACCCTTTATAAAGAAGGTCGCCTGACATGGGCGTAGGGTTAGGATAAGCTTATAGGGTGCTTGTGAAGCAATTTGAGACTACGGAGCCTGCACCTACCAAGTCTAGAGGACCCCTGCGACAAAATTGCTCGCGTTGGTACCCCGATCCCGAAATTCTCGACCGTGGACCGGTGACATCATCAGGCCCGGTCTTGCTGCCCAAGCAGTGTGTCTCCTTACGATCAATTGCATCCTTGAACACGCTGCAAAGCCTAACACTCCAAAGCTTCAGGTCTTGAGGCTTAGCTGTAGCCTGCAGCCATGATTGTCAGGATACAGCGGGCTTCTAAGGCCTTTGCATCCTTCATGTTTGAGGATTGATTCTTTGCCGGGCGTCGTCAAGAGCCACCATCCCTCATTTCTTGAAGCCAGGGAGACTCAAGCCATGCTGTCGCGAAGACAGCATCGACATCCGGATTGATGCTCTGCAAATGCTTCGGACAAAAAGCTCAGGATCTGTCAGTTTACCTAAAGTCTGGTAGGTGTGATCGGCGACAGCCGCAGTCCCATCAGAGAACACACGCAAGCCAGTATTGAAGCTGGGCAAAGCCGCAGATCCTGTTCCTCTTGTGCAGGTAACTGGCTATGCGCACGAAGAGAAATCTCCGATCCAGAGAGCACGGTGGAGTGGCGTGAACCTCCAAACTCTTGACTGTACAGCTGCGGCATGCTGGGGCTCCATGGAGTTGTCGCGTGCACCAGGAAAAAAGGCTGGTCCGACTTGCGAGGGCAGTGACATGCTTTGCTTTGCTGTTCGTGAGGGGATGGTTCGAGCGGTTCGGAGCGGAGAGCATTGGAGATGTAGGCTCGAAGCCGAAGCCTTGAAGCACCTCTGGCAAGGGCTTACGCGGTTTATGCTTGAGAAGGCTTTGCTCTCGGCATCCTTGGCCCGGTAACACCTTGCCTCCACCTGTCTTTGTCCGGTAGGCGATTATAGGATTTCTGGGTTCAGGGTGTGGCTCTATTCCAGCACAGGTTTGTCACGGATGAGCCAAGCACACGCCACATGCCAGCCTGCATCATCCTTCGAAGCCTGTCCTGAAGCAAAATCGTGCTGACAGATTCTTTGCACGACAGGCGCCGGTTGGAAACTTTGGACCAGGTCCGCTGCATCTTCTGCAAAAATTTACGATTGCTTCGTCCCTCCAACTGCAAGTGCTTGATCCTCTGAGGACCTCGAGTTTGGAGTCTAGAGAGTCTACAATAAAGGGTATCGATGTTTATTCCCGTCTTCAACCAGATGCGTTGCGCGACAGAAAGCCCGAACCAGAGACAGACCCATCAGCGAGACGTGCCACCCGCTTGCGGAAGGCATCGGTATTCGGCTGCCCAATCAAGCACCCAATGTGTGAGCCCCAGTCAAGCTAACACACTCCTGACTCAAGCTCTAACGCCACAGCTGAATCAAAGGCGGCACCGGGACCATTAGTTACGATGACGTATGCCACGTTTTGCAACGAAGGCTACCCACACCACAAGAGTTCCCTAAATGACGACTTCGGCCTCCGTTGTGCAGTAAGCTTGACCGTTGATCACCTGATAATAAAAGGGCTCACCAGTGCACTGGGGTCGGAGAGGACAGCGACTAATACATGACAAGGCCCTTTCTCTGCCCTTGCCTGATCGTGTTTGCGTGCGTACATGCGTATGTACACACATGCATACATACATACATACATGCATGCATGCATGCATGCATGCATACATACATACATACGTACGTACGTACATACGTACATGCATACATACATACACACATACATTCGCACGTAGATACATGCATACATGCATACGTGTGTGAGTGTGTGCGCACGAGTGCCGGCGAACGGACATATACCTTGTACAGTTCCTACATACAGAGGTCCGGACATGCACGTGCTTGTTTGAATGTCAACTGGGTGGTAGGGACCTAGACAGACTCAGCATGTACCACAAAGATGCAAGCTCAAGACAGGTGCTACTGCTACGCCTACTGCTACTGCTGATAGTAGTACTGGTTGCCCCCAACCCTAGACCCCTACACACATCCCCAAGATCCCGGACGAAAAGGCTTTATTGGACAGATTTGGCCCAAGACGTTGCCTTGCGCAGAGGGAGGGGGCGCAGTGGGTGTGTGCGCCATGGCGAAGCGGCCAGCGGAGATTCAGGTCTTTGAGCCCAGAAATCTTAGGGTTAGGGTGAATTTGGGTGTAGGGCTAGGCTTCAGGGAGTACAGTCTAGGGTGTACTGATTTGTGCAACATTGTGTGCAACTCGGGTGTTCAATAGGTCACGGAAAGTGATGCACAATTTCGGGGGGATGGAGGCCAAGTAGGGTCAAGATTCGGGTGTCCTTGGGCAAAACTGATCGAGATGGAGAGGATTGAAATTAAGGCTGAAAGCTCTACGTTCCCGAAACTTGTTACGGGTCCTGTTCAAGGCGCGCAGAGCGCTTCTTAGATGCGCTCTTATACCGCTCTCCTGAAATGCCACAAATCCAAAGCATTTGAACACCTTACGCCCTATACAGCCTATACACCTTCAAATTCATGGGGCCCGCAACCCCTAGTGAGACCGTTACGAACCCGCTATGGTCCTTGATATTTTCCCAGCTGTTTTTCTGCGACCTCCTTTCGGGAGCATATTAGCTTTACACAAAGATTTTTTCAATGTCCTCCAATGGCGGTAAAGGCCATTTTGGCAGGGTTCACTCCCCCGCAAGAAAAAGGTATAAGAGAACCCCATGCAGGCCGCTAACGTGAAACTCCTCGAAGAGCTGTGCCAGCCAGGCAGCGGGTGGGGACAGGGGTGCAGGGTGCTGGGTGGCAGGCCAAAAGGACATGAGAAGTGCTTGATCCTAAGTGTGTTACTGTACCCACCCATTCACCTTCTTGTACTTGGAGGGTCGGGAGACTTAGTAAGTAGGTAATAAGTAGACTTATAAGTACCCTAAAAGGGACCCTAATTGGGGTTATGGTACTTATAAGTCTGTAAAATAACCATTTACTAAGTCCCCCGACCCTCCAAGTAGAGGGGCTGCTGTTTTACATAGGTGTCGTACAACTGGAGTGGTACTGTTTGTCGGTGGTTGTCATGATGGTCCGTTCTCACGGCTCTTACCGTTCATGCTCCTGGTTCCCACATTTTCCACGAGATTCACGGCGACCAGACAGCCCTTGAAAATCTGCGACCGGGCAAGAAGTATAATCTTTGTATCTCCCTGAAGGAAGCATTCAAAAAAGACTCTGACAGGAGACTTTCTTCCGGGATGGCTTCGTGCCGCGTTGGTGCGCGAAACGTTCAAAGCCACCGCCACCTGCCCGAGCTGCAGGGAGATCCAAGCCGAACGCGGTAACGTGATCAAGAGGGACCTTTGGAACGTGCCTGCCTCGGATTGCTGTAGTGATGCGACTTTCACGGAACTCGAAGACTCTTGAGTGTCACGGAGCTTGCGTGGGCGCCGTATGGCAGTCCTAGGTTGTTGGATCCGCAAAGTGCAGCTTCCATGAGCCAGAGGAATGCTATGGCTTGGGAGTTGTGGTGCGTGCGCTCTGCAATCTGCAGAACTTGATGAGTGTTCGTCTGAGCTAAATGGGATCAAGTCAGTGAGATGCCCTGGCATTCGGAAAGGCTTTCGGCATTTTGACATATTTTCAGGTTGCATTGCAATGTTGCTAAGGTGAAGAGTGGTACCACCAAGCAGCCGAGCATGTCTTCAAATGTCTCTCGGCCATCGACAAAATCCCAGATACTCCAGAAGACCGGTTCGCTCGCCTGGCAGAGCTCATCGCGGTGGTCGGCTTGGCAGTTGGCATCCGTGCCTTCTACCGCTCCTTGCCCGAAGGGCCGCTAGAGGAGCCTCCCATTCCCACAGCCCTGGAGGGAGAGCCCAGGTTCAGCAGTGCGGCCGAAGTGTTCAAGCATTTGGGTCCTCAAGAAGGGCATGGTTGGGGAGTCGGCTTGGCAATCGACGATTTGAAGCCCGGCTTGATGGTGAATGGCGCCAAATTTGTGGGGGAGGAGTTCTCCAAGAGAAAGTTCACGCCAGTCTCGCCCATGAACAAGTGGGCCCCAGCCCTTTCCACAGGGAGCAGCTTCTTGCGGTGGTGCTCAGTTCTCTATTCTCCGATCCAACACGGCTATGAGACCCACAACTTCATGTTCAAGAAGGCACTTAGTGACAAGAAGCCCTTCCAGCCTTGCTCACGACAGCGGTAGCAACGGCAAGAAGAGCAAGAGTACGCGTCAGATGCTGCCCCGAACCAAAAACCGCCCAGACCCAAGCTGAAATTCTCTGAGATGAAGGCACCTGGAAGAGCCCTCAACCGCGTTGGCTTGGAAGACGTTGCTGCTGGTTACACGACTGCAGTCGGGTGCAGCTTCTGACGCAATGGCCATGTGGCCATTGCCAAAGCGCTGAAGGCTTTCGGACAAGTGAGCCACTACTCTGAGGACTCTCGGCATCATAGGGGAAGGAAGAGGAAGATTCTTTGAAAGGGTGGTCCTGTAGCCGAGTAGCACGAGCAATTTTAAAGGTAAACGTGCATTTAGGCATCTTGGCTTACACGTACAGGGCTTGTCAGGCTTGCACGGGGCATTGAAAGCTGCAGAGATGTTTCTTGTGTGCCGCGGGTTCTTTTCTGGAGTCATTGGGTGCATAGAATCGGGATCTCGTATTCTTTGCGGAGGTTCGAGGCTGCAGCCTCAAAGATGTAGGGCACAGGTAGGCAGGTAGCCGTACAGTATGTTAAGCACGCGATTTCACCGGAATTGTGAAACAGCCCGCGCTGCGAACCCTCCAAAACCAAACCTCCAAGGATTGCTTCGCGTTCGGTCGCGCCCTGGGCTCGGAGCGCTACGAAAACCCCGACTTCATAAAGGCCGCGGCCGCACTGCGTGCCCACGGGGACCAGGCAGTTTTCGAGGGCTTACGTTTCCAGTTCGAGTGCTCTTTCGGGGCTCGGGATTCAGAGTTGGTTCTGGGCGTGGGATTTCGGGTTTAGGGCAGGGCCGGGCAGGGTGTTGGACTTGGTGTATGGATTTTTGAAGGTTCAACTCAAGGTGCAAAAGTTTCAGGGCTTGTTTGCCAGTGTAGGATTTAGGGGAGTGCAAAGGGAAAAGGCCGAAAGGTGGCCTTTGTTCTTGAGTGAGAGAGAGAGAGAGGGAGAGTATGCAGGAATACAGACATTTGGAACAGGGTTATCGCGTGGGTGTTATACGACAGGGATACCTGGGGATTAGTACTTGCCCGGCGTTCCACATTTTACGGACAATCTCCTTGGGTTGGGTCGTCTTGATCAGTAAATGCCTTGGTGGGAAAGTGCCAGGTGCTCTTGGACGCCGCAGGTGTGGCGGCTTTCTTCGCCGCCAACACCGTCATGGTAGATGCTACCGGACACAAGGGAGGAGACAGTGCCTTGGCGCAGCGTGAGTGCCTGAATCAAATGCTAGGGTCAAGGGATGCGTGATCGCCAATCCCCCAACTCCAAAAGATAGGACAAGCAAGCGGGGTTACACCTTGGCTTCGGCAAATCCCTCAGGTATGATCAAGATGCTGTTGAAGATCGCCGATTACAAAGTCCGCCTCAACCGATACTGCTCCTGTTGCTGCAGTGGGACCACGTAATTCGATGCAGGCATCGAGCCAAGAAGGCTCCGAGAAGCCTCATGTTCAAGTTCCTTCAAGTTTTGGTTCGAGCCAGCCAAGCCTCCTTTTTCAATCCTACAATCTGCAGCGCAGCACGTAAATTGGTAAGGCCTACGAACTGCATTGTGTTATGACTGCATGCATGGCTGGTTTGGACTCTTGCTACCTGGCCATTACGCCATGTACAGTGTTCTTGTCTCGCCAAGTTGAGTTGTCAAACATGATGCGCGAATGATGTGTGCTCTTATGTGAGAGCACAAGGACAGCTGCAACATTGCTTCAACGCGGCCGGGCGGAGCCCCCAAGCACAAAAGGCGTCTTTCCGCTCTGACATGTCAGCTCTGGCATGCCAGGAGAGTCAGGAGAGAGGTGTCCCGACATTTCCCCCGAATGGAGGTGTGGAGGTGTTTTCGACGCTCACAATCCTGACCTGACCAAAGGGAAGCTTGCCGTTTCAAAAGAAGTGCGTTTTGCAGACCAAGGTTTGGGAGATCAAAATCTAAACAACAAATCACTTTGAACTTGGCCGAGCCGCCTAGCCGCCTTTGCGGCCATACCCACCTGGAGCAATATCACATCGCCATACTACATTAATGAACACTGAGAGATCAAAGTCTGAACAACAAATCAGTATACATGTGCACATTGGCACCATTCGACGTCCATCTATTTCTCTAGAAGTGTTTTATGATTGGGGCCCGTCGTGACTTCGGATCGACGGCCAAACATCTAATGCATGCACCATCTCCCACGTCCCATCTGGTGGTTCGCGCCTAGGGTTTTGGGCAGCTTTAGACGAACACCTTTAGGACCGATCTGCGGAGTGGCTCTTGTGCCTCCGACTTCTAAGGCCCAGGCTCCCCCGGGCATCGTCGGAGTCTCAGCACAGGGTGAACGATGATGCAAAGTTTCTGTCCACCGACATGAGCGTTTGCCTACAGCCATCTGTTTCACACATCGTGAATCCCTACAATCGCAGGAGTTCAGGGTTTGGGATGTAGATCCGTTTGCCGTGAAGCCAACCCACACTCGAGTTTCGATTTTGGGCTGACACTCTCCAGTAACGGAAGTTTCGGACAGAAATCCCCTTCGGTGGTTGAGGATTCAGATGCGTACGGTTTGGGGGTCTGCTCTCCCAGCAGGGTGTGGGCGCTTCCGGTCTCAGGGTTTGGCGTCCAGCTAATGTGGTCCTGAGCGGTCGAAAGTTCACGATCTAGCACGCTAGTTCAATTAGTGTAGAAGACTCAGGCTCTGGGTCATGCCAAAATGTAAGCTCTGTGATGGCACGGAACCTGCACTCCTGGCCACGTTGAATGATCCGCAACGCCTTGCCAGCTCCCCTATGCTGGCGGCGCGGGTGCGGCAGGCCTTGATTCCTTCGGCTAGGGTCGACACTTTTTCAACTTGTATACTTGTACAGACGGATGCAGGTGCACCATGTGACTTACCTAGAAGCCCAGGAAGCCCACAACCCAGGTACACAACCTCTCTGCAAAGTTCCGTTGAATTTTCAGAACACAATGATTTGTAGGCAGGTCCTTTCGTACTTCACCTGCATCAGGATTCCCATCCTTCGGAGCGGATTCTGCGGCATGGGAAACAGCTTTGGTCTCTCCATAGTATTGCTCCAGACCTTGCAGCGTCCTTTGCGTACTACACTCACTCAACAACCTAAGGGACTGCATCCTTCCTGAATCCTAGACAACAAGTGGGTACCAAGCCGCTAAGAGCGGAACCATTATCCGAGACCACATGACAGAACCTTGCGCAGCCTTCTTTGATGGTGTGCATGCTATATAAGTCAGACTGTATAATTGCATACATGATGCCATAACGCCCCAAAACAGAGCCCGGAAGCATCCCTTGTTGGCCCGAAGTGTCTGCCAGGAGCCGGTGCTTTCCGGCCACCACCCTTCCAGCCGCCCACTCCCGCCGCTCCCGCAGCGCCCGCACCTGCGCCCTACACGCCCTACACGACGCCGGGCCCAGCTGTGCCAGCGAGCGCGGTGCGACCCCGCTTATGCTGAGTACACTGGAGACTGCTGGTTTGTTTCGAAGGCTTTAAGTCCGCACAGTGCTGCTTAAGGTGCCCGTGTCGTCAGTTTGAAAGGTGTTTGGGCTGGGTGACTACATGTTGGAAGCCTGGAACTGGTGTCAACCAGGAGCGACAGTACTAGGACGGCAGCAGAACCGCAATGCCGCAACGTTGGGCTGGAAGCGCCGCGGCTCCGACCCCCTACTACACCTCCGAGCGCATCCCGGGGGCCATGGCGAAGAAGGTGCCCTGGAGCAATGTTGGCTGCTACTGATACTGATGGTGAAACATATAAACTGCAGCAGCAAGAACCATCATGATCGAATTGGGGCGATAGTGATGATGGTGATGACGATGGTGATAAAGATGAGGACGATGGGAAGGATGAGGACGATGAGAAGATTGCGAAAAAGAGAAAAGAAGCCTCCAGAAGAGATGCAATTACGATTCGTCGATCCACGAGGCCTACAACCTAGGCGGCGTCCTTACCACAATATGAGATTGCGCGACAAGTATATGCTTCTGCAAGAACGAGCAGCAACAATGCAACACATGCGCGTGTATCACGTCTCCGAACACAGGAAGTAAATAGCCATCTGAGCCACCAAGTGCATGAACATTGGTCACCCATGAACCTTCACAGACTGCGAACCCCTTGATTCTGCTGCGTCCCAGGCGAAGACCAAGACTGGGCGTTCCAGCAAGGACAGCACGAGTTGATTTGTTCCCCTGTGTAAACCCGCAAGATCACCTGAAACATCTCAGGTAGCCGATAGCAGATGCCCTTGTCGACACTCTGATATGGCATGATACGTTCAAACCGAAGGTATATAAGACTTGTTGATGTGTCTGTGTGTTTACCTACACAAAGTACGTACATGCAATACATATTTACATAAGTGTGTACGTATATATACACAGAGCCGGTTCCTGGTTGTTGTGGGTGTAGACAACATGACCATGACGGCAAAAAGCAATATTGCGCCACGAGGTCTGAGGATACCTACTCGTACAGCACGTAGTAAGAAGAGGACTGCAGGCAAAGAACCCGATTCCGATAGCTGTTCAGCTTTCGGTCAGGTTGCCACTCTAACAACTATTGAGTAGCTCCGAGGCAAAGACAGATGCTTCCGCGATTGTGAACCAGCGCGAGTATCCTTGCCATCCATATTCCCTCTAAGATCAGATTTTCAGCCGAACTCCGAACACGTCAATCTGCACATGCGCTGGAAGGAGCCTGCCACCAGAGACTACACAATTCATCTGCACAAGCACATGCAGAAGGCCCTGCGCGTGGGATACAGGCTGATACAGGCTACTGGTACTCTACAAAAATCTAAAAACCCCTCCGGAGCGGCTGTCCATCTCCGAAGCTTCAGGGCCTCAGCAACTCCACTCCATGAAAAACTACTGTTGACAGTACCAATACCCATGGCCTTGGCCTAGTGAGGTCTGGCAGCACTGAGCTCTGGAGTTCCAACGACTTTTCCAAAGACTTCGCAACTGCTACCGGGAGATCACAACATCCCATGGAGCCACGATATCTGGGACATAGGGCCCAGCAAACGGGAGTTTAGGGTTGAAGGGTTTGCAGCCTGCTTGCGCAGATCTCCTTCAAGAAGCGTGCGCCCCGCGCAGTGCGGGTCGTTCGGCAGTTTGCGACCAAGGTCATGAGCACCAAGGACGGATTTGCTGTTCATAAGC